TTTTCCAACACCATTTATTAAATAGGCTATCTTTCCTCCAATGAGGGTGGTTGGCTCCTTTGTCAAAGATGAGGTGACTGAGTATGTCTGGAGTTGTTACAGTGCAGAAGCTTTTTGATAGGATGAGGTCCCAGTTGTTAATTCTTTGTGCTAGTTCCCATGCTACTTAGGATTCGTTCATAAAATCTTTTCCTATGCTAATATCTTTGAGACATCCACCTAACTTATCTTCCAGCAAGTTTAGTGTTTCTGTTTTAATATTTAGATCTTTAATTGACTTTGATTTTAGTTTGGAGCACGGTGAAAGATAGGGGTCTAGTTTTAATCTTTGGCAGGTTGAAATCCAGTTTTTCCAACACCATTTATTAAAGAGGCTATCTTTCCTTCAGTGTGGATGGTTGGCTCCTTTGTCAAGGATGAGGTAGCTAAACATGTCTGGAGTTGTTTCTGCAGCTTCTAATCTATTCCACTGATCCTTGGGTCTGTTTCTTTGCCAGTACCATGCTGTTTTTATCACAGTGGCTTTGTAGTATAATTTCAAGTCGGGGACTGTGATACCCCTTGCCATGTCTCTGTTGCCTAGAATTGCTTTTGATATTCTAGGTCTCTTATGGTTCCAAATGAATTTTTGGATTGTTTTCTCTAGTTCTCTGAAATATACTATTGGGATTTCTATCGTGATTGCATTGAATCTGTGTAGCAGTTTTGGAAGTATGCCCATTTTCACTATATTGGTTCTTCCTACCCAGAAACAGGGGATGTCTTTCCATTTTCTTATATCCTCTTCAATGTCTCTTTTAAGAGTGCTGTCATTTTCAATGTAGAGATCTTTTGCTTTCTTTGTTAGATAGATTCCTAGATATTTCATTTTTTTGGATGCTATTGTGAAAGGAATTGATTCCCTAATTTCTCTTTCAGTGAGTCTGTTATTTGTGTACAAGAAGCCTGGGATTGTTTTTGTTGGCATATTAAGATTTCTGCTCTCAATAGCCAGCAAGAGGGCCTCCTGAGAAAGCAGAAATCAGTTATAGAAAATGAAGATGTCATGTAGTCAGATCTTTGCACAATTTAAGTATATTATATTTAGACCCCAGGAAATGAAGGCCTAGAGAGTTGTCAGTGATTGTACACTTAGGAATCTGGTCTGTGTTCTCCCTGCCCTGCCAGAAGGAGGCCTACACAGAGCTTGCTTTGTAATAATAAGCCCTTTTAAGTGAGTATCACCTCCTCTATTTCTCATGTATCATGAATAATGGCAGCTGTGATGTTTAGCATTCATGTTGTTCTGAGCTCTCAAAAGTTATCTTATGCAATCCTCTCAATACTTTTCAAAGGGATTAGTGCTTTTCTCATTCTGAGCATGATGAAGGAGACACTCAGAGATGGTAAGTATCATACTAAACTCATATTACTGGGTGTGTGATAGTGCACACCTATAATCCAAGCTACTTGGGAAGCTGAGGAAGTGTCTTAGTTACTTGGTTACTTTGCTGGGAAAAAACACCCACAAGTTAAAGGAGGAAAAGTTCATTTTAGCTCACAGTTTGTAGAAGTTTCAGTGCACAGTTAAATGGCTCCAAGGGCAGCATGGCAGAGGAGAAACAGTCCACAACAGAGGAAGCAAAAAAAAAAAGGGGGGGGGGAGTGAAGCAGAAGCAGCAGCAGCAACAGCCACAGCAACAAGGAAGCTCCATGTCCCTTTAATTCCATTCAGCCACCCACACCCAGGGTGAGACTTCTGTCTTCAGGAAATCTATTCGGCCACACCCAGAACTATGTTAAACCAGTTAGTGGACTAATGCAGTACCACACACTCATGATCCAGCCACCTCTCAAAAGCCCCACCTATGAGTGCATGAGGCTTTAGGGGGACATCTAGATATAAGCCATAATAGGCATGAAGATCAAGTCTCATGTCTCAAAATAAAAAAAGGTGGGGATATAGCGCAGTGCTCTCTGAGTTCAATCCCCAATCTGGGAATTAAGGAGAGCTTACACAGCCACGAGGAAAGTAGATCCAATACTCGATCCAAAATCCAACTGACTCCAGAGGGCACTCACTGACAGGGTGCTCATCTCCCTCCAAGTGGACTAGATGGAGTCTGTGCAGAGAGTCAACATTTTGGCACAGTTGTTACAGGAACCATAGCCCAAACATGAAAGCAGGAAACCCTTGAACCCAGCTCCTTCCTCTTGCATCACCAGGGTTATTCTTGTAATGACAACACTTCCCCCAATAGCCGAGGACAAGGGAATCAGAAACAGCCTCATCCACAGACCCCACCACAGACTCCAACAGCCTCCAGAGAGCAATTGCCTGCCAGTCCTGGGGACCACACAAAGCACCGTGTTCTCCTCACGATGCCTCCTCCACTTCTCTGGTTCACTCACCTCGCTGCTCCCTGTTGCTGGTACTGTTCCTTGACCTAACAGGTAAGTGAATCTGGTATACAACAGGGTCCACCCCTGGCTGGTCCCATAGAGGGGGACCAAGTATTTCTGCATGCTTAGAGGAGCTTTATCCCCAAAAAGTGAAGTATGGAGAGGGGTGCTGAGAACTTTGCTAGTTCAAGAAGAGAGTTGACCAAAGGCCCAACATAGCAGAATATCTTTGGAAGCAGCAGAGTAAAGTGACTAAGTAAAGTAACTAAGTCCCCAGGCTCTGGGCTCACATCACTGGGTTCCAGCTGGAACTTCTGTGCCTATATCTGATGCCCTGACTCTGTGAGCTTCATTTCCTCTTCTACAAAAATGCGAGCACCCATAGGACCTTTCTTGGGGTTGCTGTGAATATTAAAGTGATGAGACTCAAACCCAGATGAGCTACATAATTTGTGGGGCCCAGTGCAAAGTGAAAATCAGGTCTCTTGTTGAACTTTAAGACATCTGTAGCAGAGAATTAAATTGAGCATGGGTTTTTCTAAGCTCAGGATCCTGTGGAACAGTATACTATTCATGGCCCACCCTTGAGCCAGCCTCAGTTCTTCTTGAGACATAGCTATGCTTAAATCTCACCACTTACTGGTTTAAGTAACTTCACTCTGAGCCTCACTTTTTCCTATCTGTAAAACTGAGCTAACTTCATGAATTTGTTATGATGATTGGACAAAATAAGACCTATAAAGATCAGGCATAATGAAAGAATAACTGGTGGCTATTATTATTATCTTACTCATGTCTCCTCTAATTCAGGGTCAGTCCTGTTTAGCTCCTAAATGTTGGGCCTCCTGGGATAGCTTGACTTCTGGGTCTAGAACCCTTTGATCCATCATGTAGGACACTTAGCTCTCAGCTGGATCATTCCATCTCCTGCCCATCTGGGCCCCTCCCTCAGGCCTTCCCAAGATCTAGATCCTGTTCCTGACACTTTGAGTCCTCCAGGGTGATCATTGCCAGAAGAGACCCTGGAGGGATGCAGGTCTGGGGCTAGACCTGATGTTCCTTCGCTCACTGGCCATGTAACTTTTGAAACCACTTCATTTACCCAAGCTGGTTTCCTCCATTAAAAATGTGAATAGTAATTTCTAATCACTCATGACACTAATACTTTTGACTCTCTGCTATGTTTTAGGCACTAGGCTATGAAATCATAAACTAACCTACCCAGATCAAAAATATCTTTTGAAAATATTGATTTTTCTATCAGGCTTCCAAAGGGAACCCCTTAACAGGGACTATGAAAGGCAAAAGGTAGAAATGGAAAACAGGAAGGAATTGCAGATGGGAGGAAGGAGCTGGTCCAGCTCCACAGACAAGGCTGAAATAAAGTTCCCAGGACAGCTCTGAAAGTCCACATAGCAACCTGGAATCATCAAGAAGCAGAAAGTGAAGATGGGGCAAGGAGCCCAGTTCCAGCTTCTTCCCTAATGTTTTGCTTGCCCAGATGCACTTCCAACTGGAAACTGACTTTCTGGGTTCTCACTTTTTCTCTCTGCCTCATCTGCATTAATTGTCCTTTTCTCTCTACACACATAGGCTTTGTCTCACAATTTTTTCTTTTTTAAAAATGCCATTACAGAGATGCATTTGACATACAATAAACTGTACACAGGTAAGGCTGCATTTTGACTTAGGATAGTGTTATAGCCTGATAAAACCATCACAAACTGAAAATATTGTAAGTCAAAAGTGTATTGAATACATCTCACCTACAGAACATCCTAGCTTAGCCTCAGAATATACCCATAACATTGGTTGTTGCCCCTGGTGATCACTTGGTTGACTGGGAAGAGCAGCTCCCTGCTGCTGCCCAGCATCTTGAGAAAGGATCTTACTGCATATTGCTAGCTGAGGAAAAGATCTAAATTCAAAATCTAAAGTATAGTTTCTACTGAATGACTACTGTTTTCACAACATGACAAAGTGGAAAAATCCTAAATCAAATCATGCATGGTAAGTCAGGGACTATCTGTGTACAATTTGATACATTTCATGGATGCTGGGTAGATTTTATACATGTGAAGTCATTGGTGATAACTTCATCACCAATATCAAGATAACAAACACACCCAGCACCCAGAAAAGTTTCCTTGTGATTCATCAATTCCAATCCTCCTCAACCCCAGGAAAATTCTTATTTGATAGAAATTCTGTCACTGTAGCTTAGTTTTCATTTTCTAGAATTTTGCATAATAAAGATCATACAGATCACACAGTTGTGCTTTTCTTTTTTTTTTTTTTTTGGTCTGGCTTCTTTTTCTCAGCATAATAAACTTGAGATTAACTCAAGTTTTTCTACATATCAACAGTTCACTTCTCTTCATGTCTTTCCAGTATATGGATAAACCAGTTTGGTTTTTATTTACTCCTTGAGTTGTTTGCAGTTTGGGGCTTTTTATGGATTAGATCTCAAATGTCCCCCTAAATCTCATGTGTTCAAGTGGGGCTTTGGAAAGGTGATTAGATTATGGGGCCCTATTTTTATCAGTGGATTAATCCATCTATGAGTTCATAGCTGAATGAGCTGTTGGGAGATGAGGTCTGGTCAGAGAAGGCAGGCACTGTGGACGTGACCTGGAAAGATGTATTCTTGTCCCTGTCTCCTCTCTCCCTCTCACTCTTTCTGCTCTGTTTTCTCTCCACCCTGCATTGAACAGCTTTCCTCTGCCATGCAGTTTTGGCCTTGGAGCAAGCCAACTGTGAACTGAACCCACGAAATTCTTATTCAAAATAAACCTCTTCTCCTTTAACTTGTGGGTGTCAGATGTTTTGTCCCAGTGACAGGAAAGTGACTAATATAGGGTTATTATAAATAAAGCATCTATAAACATGCATGTACAAGTCTTTGAACATATGCTTTCATTTCTCTTGGGAAACAGTAAACAGAAAAATAGCTAGAAAATATAATAGCTGCCAAGTTGTTTTTCAAAGAAGTTAAACACTTTTATCAGCAATGTCTGAGGATAACAATTCCTCCATATTTTTCTAACAATACCTTGGTAAATCTTTTTAATTTTAGTCATTCTAAAAAGTGTGTAGAATTTCTTACTGTCAGTTTGCTTTGCATTTCTCTAGTGTGTAATAATGCTGAGCATATGTTACATTTATTTTGTTGAAATATTTATTCAACTTTCATTTTTATTTTTGTTTCTTATTATTGAGTTTTGAGAGTTGTTTATATATTTTTATCAGATTTATGCTTTGAAAATATTTTATATGACCCTTTGGCTTGTCTTTTCATTCTTTAACAAATATCCTTTTTTTTTTGCTTAAATTCTTTTATTGGTACATTTTAGGTATACAATACATTTACATTTATCATTGGTTGCTTGTACCTGTACGTGATGTATATTTGTTCTTATTTTTTCCCCATTACCTGTGTGCCCTTCTCTATTTACATAGACTTTGTTTCCATTTTTTTCTTTTCTCATGATTTTTCCTTTCCCTTCTTCCCTTTCCCCTTCCCCTCCCACTTCCCCTACCCCTTTTGACCTTTTCTTTCAATATATAATATTTGTACATATTTTGAGATACAGCATGATAATTTGATACATGTATATAGCGTGTAATGATCAAATCAGGGTAATTAGCATTTCACCTGCCCAAACACTTATCTTGAACACCAGACTCTTCTGGTTAGCTTGAAATATTGTTGTAGACTATAGTTCCTCTATTCTGCTATAGATCAGAAATAATTCCTTCTTTCTAACTGTATTTTGGTACCCACTATCTAACTCCTCACCAACCTCCCTTCCCCCTGCCCTTCACTGTCCTTAGTGACCAATTCTTTTCTATGAGATTGATTGTTTTTAGTTTCTATATGTGAAGATAGGCTGTATTTGTCTTTCGGAGCCTGACTTATTTTACTTAAAATGCATGATTTATGTCTTCCAGTTTCATTCATGTTGCCACAAATGACAAGATTTCATTCTTTCTATAGATGAAGATATTTCATTGTGTATATATATAATGTTTTCTTTTTCCATTCATCCATCATTGGATACTTTGACTGATTCTGTATCTTGGCTGTTGTGAATAGTGTTGAAATTAAACATGGGAGTGCAGGTATCTCTTTAACATAATAATTTCATTTCCTTTCAATATACACTCAGTAGTAGGATTACTGGATCATACGGAAGTTCCATTTGTTGATTTCTGAAGAAACTTCATACTGCCTTCTATAGAGGTTGTACTAATTTCCATTCCTACAAAGAGTAAATAAGAGCTCCCTTTCATCCATATTCTAAGTAGCATTTGTTGATTTTTGTCTTTTTTATAAAAAAAATTCTAATGGTGTAAGATGATATTTCATTGTGGTTTCAATTTCCAACTCCCTAATGTTTAATAATACTGACCATTTTTCCATATACTTACTTGTTGGTCATTTTCATGTCTTCTTATGAGAAATGACTATTCAGATTACTTGTCCACTTTTAACTAAATTATTTGGGGATTCACTGTTGAATTTTTTCATTCTTTATTCTGAATATTAATCATTTTGGGGTGAATACTTTACAAATGTTTTCCCCCATTCTACATGTTGTCTCTCCGCTCTGTTGATCATTCTTTTTTATATAGAAGTGTCTTAATTTGACATATGCCCATTTTTCTATTTTTATTTTTATTGTCTGTATTTTTAAACTCTAATCCAAAAATCTTTGCCTACACCAATGTCTTGAAGTATGTCCCCTATGTTTTATTCATATCCCCAGGCCTTATATTTAGGGGTTTCATTCATTTTGAGTTTATTTTTGTATATGGTGGGAGGAAGGGATCTAGTTTCATTTTCAGTTTTTCCAGCACTGTTTATAGAAGAGTCCATCCTTTCTCCAATTATGTTCTTTGTGCCTTTGTAAAAAATCAGTGGGCTGTATGTACATGTTCAAATTTTGGGATTCTTTGTTCTATATCATGCTGGTTTTGTTAGTATAACTTTGTGCTATGTGTTTAAGTCAGGTAAGGAGATGGTGTAGTGCCTCCACTGTTGTTTGAGAGGTTTTTCCCAGGATTCTTTTGGCTATCCTGAGTCTTTTCTGCTTCCATGCGAATTTTAGAATTGTTTTTTCTGTTTTGTGAAGAATGTCATTGGTATTTTTATAAGAAATGCATTGACTCTAGGTTACTTTAAGCAGTAAGAATATTTTAACAATATTAATTTTTCCAATCTATAAACATGAGATATCTTTCCATGCTTTTGTGTCCTTTTCATTTTTATCAGTGTATTATAATTTGTACTGTAGAGTTCTTTCACTTCCTTGATTAAGTTTCTCCTTAGACATTTTAATTTTTGTAGCTCTTGTGGATAGAATTCTTTTTAATTTCTTTTTCAGCAAATTTTTATCAATGTATTAAAATGCTATTTTTTATACATTGATTTTGCATCCAGCAAATTTACTGAATTTGTTTATCAGTGTTAATAGTTTTTTGGTGGAATCCTTAGGCGTTTCTATATAAAATCATGTCCTGCACACAGGGAAAACTTGACTCTCTCCTCAAGTATCTTTTGAACAGCAAGTGTTCTTAATTTTTATGAAGACAATTCATTGATTTGTTATTTTATGGATCATAGTTTTGATGTTATCCAAGGAATCTTTGCCTGAACAAGTTACAAATATTCTTTCCTGTGTTTTCAACTGGAAATTGTTAACTTTACATTTTATGTTTAGTTCTATGATCCACTTTGAATTAATTTTTGTAGATGGTTTGAAGTATGAATTATTGTTCATTTGTTTGTGTTCTAGGATTGTTGATGAAAAGACTCCCCTTTCTGTGCTGATTGTCTACATTTTCATCAAAAATCAGTTGTCCATATGTGTAGACTATTTCAGGACTCTCTATTCAGTTTCATTGATATATTTGTCTGTCTTTATGGAAATATTACACTGTTGTGACTACTATAGCCTTATAAGAAGTCCTAAATCAAGGTAGTGTTAGTTTGCCAATGTTGTTCTTTTTCAAATTGTCTTAGTTACCCTAGGAAATTTAGATTTGGTTTGTCAATTTCTAAAGCAAAGCCTGGGAACTTGTGAATAGAGATTGCGTTGAATCTATACATTGATTTAAGAAGAATTGACATCTTCTCAATATGGAGTCTTCTAACATACGAACGGTGTTCATAAGTTTTGATGTTTATTTAGTGTTTTTTTCTTTCCTCTCAGCAGTATTTTATAAGTTTTTAGTTTACAGATCATTTATATTTTTGGTCAAATTTATCACAATGTATTTCCTAATTTTTATTATATTAGGGATAGTAATGTTTAAAATTTAAAATTCTAGTTATTTGTTGCTAGTATATATGTCTCAGTCAGCTTTACATTACTATGACAAAATAACTGGCATAAACAACTTATAGTAGGAGAAGTTTGTTTTTGCTCATAAATTCATAAGTTTCAGTCCATGATTGTTTGGGCCTGTTGCTACTCAAGCAACATAGAGTCCTTGAGAGGAGTAAATGTAATGATGTTTATAAGCCAGGTGTAAAAAAACTTCCACCAAAGGCCTTAGTCCTCTTCTTGGTACTCTGAGGCTAAACTCAACAGTCAACCTGTCCCCAAAATAGAGCCACTTTGCAGCACACCAGCAACAACTGTAGTTTCGGAGATGGCAAGGAGAGTATTTACACTGACCATGACACCACGCAAACTGTCTCTGAGAGGCAATGTTTGAGGATGAAAACCAAGGGCCTTTGGAACAGATATTGAGGATTGCAATCAGGGCTCTGTCACATTCTTAATGAGTGGTATACTAGTCTGCTAGTTTGCCATTGCAACATATCACAGACTGGGTGGCTTCGGCGTTAAAAATATTTTTTCTCACAACTCTTAAGGTTAAAAATCCATGATCAAGATGTTCATGGTGTTGGTTTCTTCCTCAGCTGTCCCGGCCCGCGGGTAAGTCAACGGAGACCCTAGAGGGGGGGTGAGAATGAGAAGGGACAGGGGACATGAGAGATGGAGACAAGACAGGTTTCTGATCAAGTCTCGTTTATTGCAGAAGCTGCTACAGCATATATACCGTAGGGCTAGAGGGGAGGAGCAAGAGGAGGGTACTGGGGCTACTTCCTTGTTGCCGGGTAGACTTGCAGCAGGCTTAGACATGCCCATAAAAGGCACTCAAGAGTACTAGGGGGGGGGCAAGGCCCCCCACACTCAGCCTGTCTCCTTTGCCTGTACATAACTGCCTCTCTCTGTGTCTTTAAAGGGTCTTCCCTCCATATATCCATCCAAATTTCTTCTTTTTAAGAAGATACTCATCAGATTGTATTAGGGCTTACCCTCATGACTTCATTTGGATTTAATTACCTCTTTAAAGACCCTAGGTCTAAATCAGTCACATTCTGAGGTATTGGGGGATAGAACTTCGACATACGCATTTGAGGAAGACATGATTCAGTCCCTAACAAATGGTATAGGATGGGCTGCCTAGCTTTTTCAGCTGTTCACTTTTCTCTGTTGTAAAATAAGATAATGTTGCCTACCCCATAGGAGCATTTTAGGAATAAATGAGATAGAGCATTCAGTTCTCAGGACAAGATGACCACCTAAATTCTCTTGATTATTTGTAGATTTTCTATTAAATAGCTCTGTTATCTCTCTGCAGCTAGTCACCTCATCCTTTTTCCTTTTCCTCTCCAATTACACTCTTCTCTTGTCCTGATCAATTGTTCTTGGCCACATAGTGACTAGATTGAAGCTTGCCTTTCAGGGCTCCAAGGCCTTTCTGCCCAATGAAAGGCCCCCCTTCCTTTGTTGCAGGAGCCTCTGAGCAGAGCAATGGGAGTGAACAGCAGCAGGTGCTACAACCCGAGGGCCCAATGCTGGTGGCAGAAGGTGACACCCTCTTACTGAGGTGTATGGTGGTGAGCTCTTGCATTGATGATATGATAAAATGGGTCAAGGTGAACAGTCAGGACCAACAGGAAATTTATAACTTCAAACATGGCATTTTTCCTGGGGTGATGCCTATGATCCAGAGGACATTAGAGCCCCTGAACTGTGATTATTCCATCTACATCCACAATGTCACTAAGGAGCATGCTGGAACCTACCACTGCCTGTGTGAGTTCTCAGAAGATAAGCTGGATAAAGGCACCTCTGTGTTTGTGAAGGGTGAGTATGAGGCACTGTGGCCCACATGTTGGCTCTAATCTGCTGCCCTTCCTCACCTTTATGTACAATCATGCCATATCACACAAAATCACAGTGGCATACACAATAAGTATTTCTATCTCCCTTGTACATTTGCTAGAAGTTGGGGTAGTTCTGCCTCCCATGTCTCATGCCAGGGCCAAGGCTGCAGAAGTAGCAGCAACCTGGGTGTTATCTTCTCAAGAAGCACAAGAAGCCTCTATCACATCTGCCAACTTCCCATTGGCTAGAGCAAGTCACATGGCTCAGTTCCAAGCCAAGGACAAGGAGGCCACAGCAAAAGTGTGAACATACTATACTACCAGAGGACAGTGAAGACCTCAGGCTGATCATGTAGTCTACCCCACTTCTCAATTGGTTCTGGTGTCTAGACATCCACCCATGATGACCTGGGTATCCAAAAAGTGTGTAAGTTATTCAATAACTACATGCTGTTATGTATTTAACTTTGGCTCTATATACTTAACTGCAAAGTAGGCAACGACATTTGTACTTCATGGCTCATTTAGATGATTAAAGAAAAGAGTGGACACTTGTGAAATCACCTGTAAACTGCTAAAATGGAATGTGTCAAGGGTTGGTTGACTTTAACTTGATGCCAGAATTTCTGGAAGGTGTCCTTGCCTTCTTCCAAGCTATTATGGTACCTTCTCTGTCATCCTGAAGTTCTATAGGATTCTAGACTTGGGTCACTTTTCTTGACCATCTCCACCACTATGCTGAGAATGACTTCAAGGCAGGGCGGTTGGGAGACTTGCTGAGCTCTGCTTTGCCAGCCCTGGTACACAGGTTCTCAGAACTTTTTTACTGAATAAATCAACCAGGGAGTAATGAAAAGAAGTGGAAGGGGATGGCTGAAAGAACAAATCATGAAAAGGGGAAGGGAGGAGAGATATGAAGAAGGAAATGAGCAGGCTATGATAAGGAGGAAATCCAACATGGATCTTCTCTTTGGCTTCAGGAGCTGGAGACTCCAGGCTAGACCTCTGGATTATCCAACCCCAGGAGCTGGTGCTGGTGATCGTTGGTGACACTGTCCTCCTAAACTGCACAGTGCTTGGATATGGTCCCCCTGGCCCCATCAGGTGGTTCCGAGGGACTGGTCTGAGCCGAGAGGCCATTTACAATTTTGAAGGCATCTCCCACCCCAATGTCACAGCAGTGCGCGGCTCCAACAATGACTTCAGTATTCTTCTCCATGGTGTCTCCATTGAGGATGCAGGCACCTACTACTGTGTAAAATTTCATAGGAAACCCAACATTCAATATCTGTCTGGACAGGGCAGCAGGCTGAGAGTAAAAGGTGAGACAAGTTGCTTAGGAAGTATCAGGGGCAGGTGACCCATAAGGAATTCTGACCATGTCCCAGACAAGCAAGTTCTTCTCAGTCTCCATGTCTTTACATAAGTTCCTTCTATCTAGAATGTTTTCTCCTTTTCTCTGGAGAACCCCTACTCATCCTTCAAGGCCCAGCACAAATGACTCCTCCTTTGTGTAATATTTTCCTCTTCCATACAGAGTTAACTTCTCCCCATTCTGTTTTCCAACAAACATTCAAGTTTTCAAGAAATATCTGTTTCATGGCTGTTGATTGCCTTGCATGTAGTAAGTTCTGGAGACACAGTGATGAATCAGGCTTTGGCTGTACCCCAGAGATGCTCAGGCAGAAGGCCTGACTACTTCTTTATAGTTACAGGATTTGACTTCTAGCCCCCACCAGGCAGAAACTACTTGGCTTCTCTCAGGAACCCATGATATCAGCACAGGGCCTCAGAAAGTGGCAAGTGGCAGGACAGAAAGGTAAGGAGAAATGTGAAAAAGCCTTTCTGTGTTACAGCAAAACCTATTTCTCTAGAGAAAGAATTCACCGATGAACCTGCACCCCAGATATCTCTGACAGGTGAGTGTTCCTAGCTCCAGTGGAAGAAATGAGACATCCCTAGGGGGCCACGAGTAGCTTGGCCATGAGAAAGCAGTAGTCTCAGATTTCTAGGGCTCATTCTCCTCCAAGAAAATTCCCAGGATTCCAGCTCTGCTACAGAGCGGGAACCCCAGAGAATCATGTTACAGCAGCTCAGAGAAAGAGCTTTTTAATAGCCAGTACCAGCTCACTGTAGAGTGGGTAGTCTTGCTGGAGAGGTAGTGAGCCCCCCACGTATTATATTGTGAGGCCATGCACAATAGTGCTGAAAAATGTGGTTCATAGCCAGGTCTCTTGGATGGAGTCCTTTCTACCTGTAGAATTCCAAGCAGGTCACCCTGCTTCTTGAATCTCTGATATCCAACCCCATGAATAAAGGGGAAGGGGATGAGAATTGGAAATGAAATCACAGGTGCCAAATATCCAGAAAAGTATCTGGCAAGTCACCTGTTAACACTTGAGCTTACTTGGTGACTGGAGAGAACTTGGGTCAGAAATAGCCAGTTAGTCTCCCTGACACTGGGCCCTGATCCTGGCATTCACAGGAGCCAGACCACCTGGGCCCATCACTTCTTTTCTTTTTAAAAAAATATTTTAATTGATACATCATAATTGTATATATTTATAAACTATAGCATGATGATTCAAAACATGTGAATAATGTATAATCGTTTCTTTGACACATGTGGCTCTGGGCAAATTACTTCTAGTTCTAGGTCTGTCTCTTCATCTTTGAAAACAGAATCATTACTCTGTATTGTAGGATTTGTTTCAAGATTACATTGGCTCAGGCTCTGAGGCAGAGAAGCTGAGCATCCAATAAATGACCCCAGTTTTCTCTCATTAGCAGAGGTGAGGGATGCTGTTGAAATTATATGGGTATAGGTAGGGGTAAAGGGCAAGGCTTCTTCTAGCCCAGGAGAGAGGGAAGGGTGATCTCTGACCTCTTCCTGCATAGGAAGGACATGAGTCCATGGGTTAAACAGCATCTGGGCTCAGCCTCACCCACAAATGGCACTGGGATGTATACTTTGGGTGCTCACCAGGGGTCCCACCTAAGCTGTCCCCTGTGTCCCCAGGCCTCCTGTCTGTGTTCACACCTGTGGTCCTGGGGCTGAAGACAGTGACCTTGGCTATACTCCTACTGGCCCTGTCTGCCTGCCAGAGAAGTTCTGGATGAGAAGACTTCTAGACCTCAGCCTCAGAAAGCTGTGCACAGATTAGAATGGACAAGAGGCAAGAGTAAAGTGTCAGCCTATTTGTAGATCCTCTTGAGAGAGGAGACCACTCCTCCATATGGAATTGGGCAACTATGAGTTAACTGTGTTATTAGGCAACTATGAGTTAAATAGGTAACTATGCTGTTTGTAGAATGTACCTGAGCAGCCATGACAACTTCTGTAATCTGTCATCAAATCTGTTAGAGAGTCCTGCCAGAACTCTTTGTTTTCCCCCTTTCCACTGCTCTGCTTTGTGCAAATCCTGCTTGCTATATTCCCAGGGAAACTCCAATGGAATTAAGCTTTGTAGATGTAAATAGAGGTATATAAGGAAGTGCAAACTTCTATTTGAGGCTCTCAAGACTGACAGGAGTCACTTGTTGAGCTACTGACATCATTAAAAGCCAATTTTTGCTCCTATCTTCATGTTAAAGAGTTATCTGTGCCAGGGTCCTCACTGTTTCCTGCTTCACTGAGTTGGAGACAAGCCATGACCCTCAACTATTTCTCCGCCTCTAATCCCAGCCCCCAGTACCCTCCCAAGACTTTAAGGCAAACAAGTAGATCCCTTGTACCTTATTGAGGTAACTTGGTAAAATTCCTCACTTGACACTGGGCCACCCTCTGATGTGTCTTGTCAGCCTATTCAAGCCTTCCCTGTCCTTCAAGCATTTGTCCCTGATGCAGGCCCTTCTGGGTGCCTCCCTCCTTCTGTGCTTTTCCATACTTTCTTGACCTTCCAGACTTAATTCAAAGTCTTCTTCTCAGGTTTCTCTGGGCATCTCAGTTCATCCAGCCAGACCACCTGTGCCTCTCTATTTACATCCCTTTCTTCCCATTTCTTCTTTCTTTCCTTCCCCATGTGGCTGGCTAGGGTCAGTGTAATAGAATCCAGGTTTAGCAACTATAACAAAAACAGTGACTTAAACCAGAAGAAAGTTGATTTTTCTTGTAATATCCAACCACCAGGAGCCAGAATGAGGAAGAAGGCAGGGCAAGGAGACATCCTCCACAATTTAAAAGCATTCTGGAGACTGAGGCAGGAGGATCACTGGGAGTTTGAGGCCAGCCTGGGCTACATAGTGAGTTCTATACTACATTGTACTACAGTATGCTACAGAGCAAGACCCTGGGCCAAAAATTTTAAAAATAAATAAAAATACAGACAGATGCTGGACATGGTACCACATCCCTATAATTCCAGAACTCCAGAGGCTGAAGCAAGAGGATCACTGCAAATTCAAGACCAACCTGGGCTACATAGGGAGCTCAAGGCAGCCTGGAATATATAGTAGGCACTGTCGTAACAACAAAAAAAGCACAGTCAGGAATTTGTCCACCTCTTTTACTTATTGGCTGGAACGTGGAAGGGTAGGAAATGTAGTCTTTATTTGGCATCAATGTGCCCAGCTGAAATCTTTCACTAGAGAACCTCAAGGTAGATTATCAGGGGATAACCAGTGATCTCCACCCCTGTGGTATAAAGACAGGCCCTTATTTGTACATTAAAGACCAGAGTTTAATTCCCAGCTAACCCACCACCTTGTCCCATCATCACTCCCCCTGAGCAGCATAACATCTCTCCTTCTCACCATGGTTCTCAAGGGTGATCTTGTCCCTCCCACTACCACCATTCCCCTTGGACTTTCAACAATGTCTCCAGACATTTCCAATTGTCACAACTTGGGTGTCGCAACTGCCATCTAGTGTGTAGAGGCCAAAGATGCTGTGAAACATCCTTTATTACATAGGACGCCCCTAACAAAGACTTACCTCGCCCAAAATGTCATAGAAACCCAAATGGAGGGGAAAGTATGGGAGCCCTGGAGTCAGACACTTCTGGCCTGGAACCTTGAGGGCTCTGAGTCCTCACTATGCAACCTCAGTGACTCATCCATCACTTCACCTCACAAAATGGCAAGAATAAAAATGTAGACTTCTCTGCATTGTATGAGAATCACTGATTAAATTCCACACTTACTGAGGGCCTAATCAGTACTGTGTGCTGTATGGACATTTGATACCTGTGAATTCCCTCTTCTCTTTCCATGCAAACATTCGTTAGTACTTACTCTGAGGGAAAATGGATGACAAATGCAGGGTGTTTGTCATTGTAACATCAGAAAAACAGCTTGAACTAAGTAAGATGGAGAGGACATTAATTGGGTCTGAAAATGGAATAAATCACTGTATTGCCAGATATTAAGGAAGATAGTTATGCAGGCATATTACATACAGCAGAGGTATCCACATACTAATCTCTGGAACCTGTGAGTGTTGTCTTACATGACCAGAAGTTGCAGGGGGCAGAGAGTGGGGGTGAAGGTGGATTAAATTTCTGGATTATCCAGCTGGGGCCTGAATGCAACTCAAGTATGGAGACCCAGGACTCTTTGATTTTTTTTATAAACAGAGAGACAGAGAGAGAGAGACAGAGACAGAGAGAGAATGCAGAAGAGCAGAAAGCAATAGGACCACAAAAGTAGAGACTGGAGTGATGTGGCCACAAGTTAAAGTACACCAGCAGCATTAGGTCCTGGAAGGAGGAAGGAAGGCTTTTCCCCAAGATGCTGTGGTGACAGCAGACTCTGCTGACACCTTGACTTCAGGCTCCTGGCCTGAAAGACAATGAAAAAAGAAATTTCTGTTCTTTTAGACCACCCACTTTGTGGCATTTGTTTACAGAAACCCCCAGAGGGTAATGCAGTAGGGATGTATACAGTGGGCCCTCCAAAACAAAAACAACTGCAGGTGAACAACTGCCTGGGCTGGTCCCTGTTGCCCCTCTGACCTCACCTCCTACCACCCCTTAACGTTTCTCCACTCCAGCACCCACTGAGTCTTGACCACACCAAACTCCCTCACACATTTGAGTCTGTGCTTAACTATTTCCTTTGTGAGGCCTCCCTGGAACCTTCTATCCCTGATGGCACCTCTGTCACTCCCATTTCTCCTATGCCACTTGAGCTTTCTTCATAGTACTTAATGCTGGATGAAAAGTGTGTGCATGTGCACTGTGTGTTTATTTTCTTGATGGTTGTTAGTTTTCCCCACCAGAATTTGAGCTCCCTGAGGGCAGGAACCTAACTTTCTACTGTTGCAGCCCTTTGCACTCAGTTCTGTTAACTGATTAAGAGCAGAATATATGCCAAGTACTAATCAGTGTGCTAACAATAAGATAGAAAAAATCTTCTCTCAGAGCTTACCTTCTACTGTGGGCAGACAGACAATGAACAAGTAAACATAAATCCAATATGTTACATGATGATGGTGCAGGGTGCAACAATAAGGCAAGATGAGAAAGATGGAAGGTGCTGAGGCAAAGGGGAAGTAATGCTATTTTATTTAGAATGTTCAGAAGAGGACTTGTTAAGTAACATTTAGGCTGTGTCATGAAGGAAGTGAGGGAAGGAGTCCTGTAGACCATGGGAAGAGCTTAATAAGCATAAGGAACAGCAAGTGCAAAGGCCCTAAGACAGGTGTATACTTGACATAGCATTCTAGTAGCAGACACCAATCAGAGAGGCCCACTATGATCTTTGTGAAGATCAAAAAGGATGTACAAGTAAAGGTGAAGTTCATGGTCTTGGGAATCTGGCAGTACAGTTTCAAATTCCAATTGTCCTATATCTCTTCAGTGAGCTTGTTTCCCTTGGTTTTCTAATCTGTAAATTGGAAATAAGATTAGTGTTTTCCATATTAGGTAACTATGAGGCTCAAGAGCACTGCTGCATGTGAAGCATTAACTGTACCTGCCACATGGGAAGCACTAAATATTGCTGATGTGATTGAACTATGCAGTTATGACTATTACAACTATAATATATAGTCACCATCTTCCACATAGTAGGCAGTGTACAGCTCCCAATGCTGGGCTTCTCATCTTGTGACTTTAGCCACCTGAGAGCCCTGAATCTCCTGAGATTCGCCTGGAAAATCCTAGAAAAATGTGACTTACAGGGTTATGGCAATGGTAGGGGTGTCAGAAAATAAAGCAAAAGTAAGTAATTCAGGGCCCATGGTATGGACCTGGGAAAACCTGCTGCCCACAGATGAAAGGATGGGGAGGAAAAGAGAGGCAAGTCCCTCAGCTGGCTACATTGGGACCTGGGTCACTGTATGGGCAAGATGGCCTGCCAAAGACAGAGAAGAGGTGGGCCACAGGGAGGCCATATTCTTGCATGTCCTGTATGGCCTTGGAATCTGAACACAGGAGAGGTTAATGGCTGTAGTCCAGGCCTCCCTAAATCCCAGAATCTCCCCTTCTTTTCTGTCTTCTCTTTTCCTGCAGCCCACCATTGCTTTCCTTCCTCTCCTGTGGTTCTTGACCTTCCTGATCCTCCCCAAGGACCCCCATTTTAGGGTACCCAGGGCCTGCCCTCCATAGCAGCTGCTTGTAGGCAATAGGCTGATTGACTTTTGCTCTCTTCCCATTTGGAGAGCCCTCACTTTCTCCTGCAGATAAGATCTAGAGCTAGAAAAAGTGAGAGACAAAGCCACTCCATAAGGACTTCCTGTGTCCTGATGATCCAGAGAGGGCAGCTCTGAGGGGTCAGTGTTGGGAGGGAGAGAGAAGAGGTGCCAGTTGTGGCCAAGAATGTAGTCATATGTCTTATGATTGAGGAGGTGAGGAGCACTAGCTCTACTTAAGTGTGGCCTTTCCCATTTATAAATTCTGTATAAATTTCCCTGTAGAGTGGCATTTTATACATACTCCGCACTACTTTCTGGCTCAACATTTGAGATCTATCCAGGTTGATTGCTGTAGCTCTAACACACTCATTTTCACAGCCGTATAGTATTGCATTGTAGTAGTATATTTGTGAATTCCACCAACTGGTAGAAACCCAAGTTGTTTCAGTTCTTCACTATCATAGACTTTCACTGTGTCTCCTGGTACAGGCATGCAAAAGTTACCTTTGAGGCTGGGGACTGAGCTCAGTGCCTGCCTCGCAAGCACAAGGTCCTGAGTTCGAGCCCCAGTACAAAAAAAAGTTTCCTGAGTGGGTATACCCAAAAATAGAAATGGTGAGTTGTACAGGTTTTATGCTTTGTCAATTCTGCCACATTTGCAATGTTACTTTCCTATGCTACTGAGCCCACATACTCTTCCACCAAATACTGGACAGTTCCTGTACCTCACATCCCTGCCAATGCTCCATAAGAACAGACTTGTAAGAATTATTTTATCAGTTGTCATTGTGATTCAAATTGGGTACCACTGCTGTGTAATGCAGGTAAGCATCTTTTGATACACAGGCTGGCAGTACTATGCTGCTATTATCATTAGTTGGCATGGGAAGCTATGAAAAGAGAGGAATAGTCCCAACTTTGCTGAGGCAGTGGTACTACAATAGGGCAAAAGGTCCTGCAGCTTCTGAGTAGGAGCCTCTGGAAAGTTTGAATGTCAGCTTAAATCA